CCACCGCGAAATAGATAATTTACGGTTTCCACTAGTAATCCTATATACAGAGATTTGCGGAAATATTATCAGACGATTTGGCAACGGGATGTGTTTTGTTTACAAAAGCTGCCAACACTTGCCGCGGAGCAAAATGTTCCAGCGTGCGTGACTTTATCGTTGTCTACGGTATGAGTTTGTTTGAATTCTCAGTGAACTGGTGAACTATTTTTGCCATGTTTTGCCCTAAAAAAAAAATGTCGGACTGCCGTTGGATGTTTTCCTAGTGGATTCTATGCGTTTGTGTAGTGTATGTTACAATGATAATTATGTGGTGGTACCTAGTTAAAATTTAATACTTTGACTATATGTTTTTAGTATTACTTCTACGTGAAGTCAACGATTTACATAGTTGAAGATGCTAATTTCAAATAACAGACTGTAGTGGTAATTTTTATACGATAGATGGAGTAGATGAAAGCATAGAGTTGATAGTTCCGTTAGAGTACGGCAGTGTGAAGATTGTATATAGATATTAGAATAGCGAACTAGGACAACTTTTAAGGAAGGTACAAATCGGTTTTTTCATCTCTCTTTACCAAACTCCCCCTTTGGAGAGGGATGGTGAGGGGTGTCCCCCCCCCCCCGCCACCACAAATTAGCATCTTCAACTATATAAAATTTAATGCTTCTTACAGTACCACTTCGAGCACAAGCAATTGTATTTAGCTAAATTATATTGCTGAAAAAAAAAACCAAAATATTGCGTACAGTTTAATTGCGCACTTCACACTTATTGAAAAGGGTGATAAAAGTGCGAATTTTCTTCCAATCTTCTTGGTGTCTTCAGTGCACACATTCTTTATAATAAGGAAGCAATAAGTGCTCCAGAGACAAGGACGGAATCGTGCATTTTATCACACTTTTTGGATTTTTGGGACTGTCCTGTTGCAGATGCAATCAGCAATATTATCCGAACTGAAAAATCCATAAAAAATATCCATTCACAATGGATCCATAAAAGCGAGTGTCACGTCAACACATTCCTACCCATTCCTTTCTTGACCTGCGTTCGGGCGCGGCCGGCGCTGGTATTGCCTAGTTTGAGATAACCAGTTTTTACACATTGAGGATGATTGCTAGTCCCAAGCATCGTCTATTGGTTCTCTGTGTAAGTACAGCTGATCTGGCAATAACAGAGTAGCAACCGTGGGCGGTCAATCATACTCATATGCTCATGCTCATAGAACTCTTATGTCATACGCATTTTACTGCTATAATACATAGGGGAAATGACGGCTTCGGCATGACAGACTATTTTCACTGGATGACACACTATTTTCACTGGATTTTCTTACGAAAACACTTCGCTGAATGCATTGCAAACGATTCTTTATGCTTTCAGCTTCAATTTGACTATATTTTTACCACTGAGAAAAAGCAATCTAGCAAGGTTTTCTTGAAATGAAACACACGCACTACAAATTGTAGCTGATTTCGAGTTGCCGATAATAGAACAGCAGATTTACATGCAGTTCAAATGGAACGGTTGCCTAAGAAAAACTGGTTGCCGACAATACTCACTCTCACTAGAGAAGATTGGAGCTTTGTAATAGCGTTTCAAAACAGTTTTTGACAATTCTTTCGACTGAAATTGTTAGAGCAGCTGGCAGCAAAAGATTGTAAACAAACCAATACTGCATATGTGTGCGTTCCATAGAGAAAAAGGCTGTAGAAAGAAGGTCGCTGCTTAGGTTGCCGAGAATACGTAAATTCCCCTATTTGCTTTTATTTTGAATTTATTTCCCCCCGATTACAATACTTTTCAACTCACCAAGAAATCCTCTAAATATTTTCTAATCAAAATGCTCGTTTGGCTCACAGTTTGACACTTCTCGCTGCTCGATTGACTCAAAATCAATGAGGTACAGAGAGAGGTAAAGCAGATCGTGAAATATGGTTGTATTAGTAAACCAAAAAATAACGTAAACGCAATTAGTGACGTCACTAATTGCTTGTATCGTACAGTGGTTTCACTCACACAACTTAATAGATTGCTTTACCTCGGTAATCCAGCTCATGTGCTCAAAATGGCCGCTTCCGCTAACCATGGCTATCAGAGGTGGTACGAACATTGGTAAAGCGTGGAAACTAGTAATTCTATATATAGACTTCTCTGACGTTTGTGAATTTCACAAACTTGAAGAACTTTGGATAAATTCAAAGGTTTTCTTGCACTAATACTTATAATTTACCCCGAGTTCTGCACTAATACTTGTGCATTTCACAAAAGTTAGTAAAGTCTATATATAGAATTACTAGTTTCCACCAGGGTTACCAAAAATACAGATAAATCTGTATTTCTACAGATTTTTCAGAGTTTTTAAAACCAAGATTCTGAATTCACAGATTACAGATTTCTAGGATTTTAACAGATTACACAGATTTTTAAAATATGATCAAACATTTAATAAGATAAACTTGAGATGTTTAATAACAAAACATTATTTTCACTTCAGTGTAATTTTATCATCACAAACTTTTATATCTATGTATGCTTTTTTGCGAAATGGTAAAGAAGAATGGGAACTGTCAGAGGTATTATTTTTGCCAATTTATGATACATATATTTTTATCTATTTTTTGTCTCTGTCAGAAAAAATTATTCAATCACTTTTCAAATGCCATTCAATTAATAAATTATCAACACAGATATCATCACAGATTTTCTGGACAAAAACTAAGATGAAAAGATTTTTTTGAACAAAAACACAGATTTCCTTTTGGCAACCCTGGTTTCCACGCTTTACCAATGTTCGTACCACCTCTGATAGCCATGGTTATTCTTCCACCTCGTTTGTCGACTCAGAGCAGCAAATGACGTTCGATAGAATTTTTTACATCATCGTTTTGGATGATTTGCGTTAAGGGGTTGAACCAACAATCAATACGAATCTATCGATTTGAAATTGGCTCACTACTTGACTAGCCTATTGGTCCCAAGCAAACGATTAACGTATCCCATTCTTGTCGGAATTCTAGTACTACACTATGTTTGTTTTGATTCTCTGTGACAGTTTGACAGATAAAATTATGGGTTCGTGGATTTTCCCATGTTTCGAAGGGTGCATCGATTAGCTTGGGACCGAAGATAGTACCAGAGCTGAGCCAAAAAGTTGAGCACGTTTCTTCGGGACCTACTAGTCTTAGAGTTACCTCTATGGTTGAACCAATACCAAATGCATTTCAATATAAAATGACTATCATTCTGTAGAGAGTATTACGCATTCCAACTGAAGGCCATATCCCTTTTCATAACAATGTTCATCATGTATTCAGGAGGAAAATCATCTAATTTCAAAACAACCATCATCCGGTTGCAGCTATCATTCGAAAAGGTGATTTCGATGTTTCGATTGAGGTCTGAGGTTTCATTCGAACAGAGGACGGTGGTTTGGTACTACAGTGCAAAAGAGCACAACGAAAGCAGTGATGTCACATATACAGATTTATCTGTAACCATACAGATTTTGACGTAGACTACGTGTTACGGGAAGGTACTGGGGGTAAAATCTAAAATTGCGACCGTCACGAAAAGGTGTAAGCTTTTGAACGCCTATAACTTTGTCATTTATAGATGAAATAAAAATCTAAATACACCAATCGATAGGAAATAACTCTGCTACAATAAACGCTTTTTCCATTTTCCATAAAAAAAACTGTTGAAAAATGTGCAAATAAAAAGTGATAATTTTATCACTGTTTTCATGAAATAAACGTTCTCCCCAAACCCAGTCGTCATAATCGAGTACAATTTTGTTGCACATCATGCTGCTTGAATCTGAAAAGTTATAAAACAGCGCTGCTTTTGTGCCGCACCTCATTTTCGCTTCGGACGGCGGGTGAGCAGGTAGCAGCAGTAGCAGTAGGAAGGCAGCGGTTCCTGTCATGCGCAGCGTTCGAGTTTTCCACTTAGAACCTTGCGCGTCATTCTCGTCGATATCACTGGCTGTTGGCAGCACCGTCACCTCGATGGCGCAAGCGCTCCGAAGTGGATAAACCTCCTTGCCTGAATGATTTTATTACCACATAAAAAATTCAAGAGCACAAATGTCACCTCTCACAAAACTTATAACAAAGAAACTGGAACTTCACGTTTGCTGCAGTTCATTACGCAAGGAGTTTCAATTTCATGAGTGATGTCACAACCGTCCAAGATTTGTGCCCTAGAAATCTTGAAGTGATAGGAAATATCAGCCATCATGACGGTCAATGTTGGACACTTAAATGAATCACCTGAAGAAAGCCTTACTAATATCTGATTGTAATTTAGGAACCAAATGTAACAGAATATGTATTCGCATTTTTATGAGGTCCTGAATTTAACAAAGTTTTACTAAGTGGGAAATCCAAAATATGTACATAGGACCGAAATCATAGGTTGCTTCTACTGTATTTTAAATTTAAGAAAAATGCACGTGAACTTTACTACACAGCTTAACGTAGTCTACGCCAACATGCGGTCGTGTCTTATACACAACCCCACCAATTTTTTATTTTGTCATTTGGATGACCATTTCCATTTTAGGGTGGTCCAAAAAATCGATTTAAAAAAAATACTTCCAAAATTTATAACTTTTGAACGACCGGGCCGATTTCAAAGATCAAAATATCAAATGAAACGTAATTAAAAATAATTTTTGTTGAACAGGTAAAAATTGAGGTTACGAGACGCCACTGGGTCGTGGAGACCTGCCTGTTATTAGTGAATAGTTGTGATGTATTTCAAATTTTAACACACATTTTATTCCTATACTACAACATTGGCCAGACGAGATAGGTTAACTTACTGGTATCGAAAATAATCGATTCAAAGTTGAGAATGTACTATTGGTACCCAAGGGAAAATTTGAAAAACTATACTTAACTATGATCTTTGCTTAAGTTTAGACTTAATGTTCAATGTTTGATACAATACTCTAATCACGTTCACCTTTTTCTTCTTATTCTCTTCCCAACAGATCACCGAATACAGAGCTGCGCCGCCGGAAGCGGCTCGAGCGCCAGTCCGCGATGGAGGAGAAAATCCGCGAAATCAAACGCAAACAGAAGGAATCGGAGAGCAATTCGCCGAAAAAGCGCAGGTCAATAATTTTTTCCATCGCTGCCGGTGTTTGTATCGGTGTGCTGTGTGTTTATTTATACACGAGAACTCTGTAAACCGACTGCATACTACCCAAACCCCCCTGTCACCCCTTCTATACCTTTGCATGTATGTCCCGTATATCATCCCATCTCGCCCAACCACACACGGTTCCACGTTGTGGGAAATTTGCATTTAGATACCTACTACAGAACAGGTTCAGATTACCATGGGTGAACAAGGGGTTTGCACTTCACTTTTGCCGATTATTTCCATACCTTTCTCCACGTGAGAATATTCAAGCGAGAAATAGAAATGCAAGCAAGATAGAGGGAGTAAGTGCTAACGCATATTGTCAGATAATGGTTCATAGTTATCTGGGACTATTGCCAGCAGACTGTTGTAGGGTAATTTTCGATTGATAAGCAGGAGACATGTTCTCTATCAGTGAGAAAAGAAACAAGCTATTAACCAAGTAATGATTAATTGTGTAGAAAACAAAGTGATCAATGTTGCATTGTGCTGAACACACACAGACACACACACACACAGACTTACTCTCAAACATAAGCCGGTGTTTTTAGTTATCGTCGTATGGAGAATGGATCCTGTTGTTTTACAGCATGATATTTCCGTTTTATTCCCCATGAATTTGAATTCATTCCGAGTGGAAAGACTTGAATGAAAGTAAGAAGGTATAGCCAATATGCAGAATTAATACTGAAATAGACACGTTCTAGCAACCAATAATCAACAATGTCGACAGCATTCACACTCATGCACACAAACAAACACACATTCAAAGGGATTACATTTAACAGTGAACTGAGAATTATAAAGACGTGGAAGGAAAACTCAGTTGGAGATAGAGATGAAAAGAACACTCGCAAAGATCGGTTTTCTTTCCGCAGATTTCCTTCCGGATTGTATATTTTATAGGAAGATGCCTTAGATTTTAATTTTTCGTTTTCCATTTTTTTTAGTAGCTTTATACACCTTCCTCCCAGCACAGCAGTCTTTCGTGGCGTTACATTTTAAGTGCATACCTACCACATTTTATGGAACTAGTTTTAGTAGCTTGATATGTGTTAGTGAGAGAGAGAGAGAGATAGAAAAAGGAAGCGAAATGCGCCGGGAACGTCCACAACAACTACAAAACAGAAATCAGCGTTCAGTTGGAGCGAGCTGGTAACATTGTGATAGGCTAAAACAGTGAATTCATCGGTTCAATAGTTAGATATAAAGGCAAATCATCCTTACTGCTAAGCTTTGCAAGGAATAATTTGCTCTTTTTTTCAATTCATTAAATTTGTTCCGAGACGTGTTCCCTGTGTTTCGAAACAATTTCCACGTACACGTATCAGAGGAGAGGAAAGAACAAGAACGTATCAACGTACATATGCGGAGTCGATCGAGAATGGAGACAGGGAAGAGAGCTCTACAATGTTTGATTTCTTCGATTAAAATTTATACCAGGTGTGTCATTGTTGAGCACAAACTAACTACAATCAAACGGTTCGTTCAAGAAAAGATGAAAACGAATAGAGCAGCAAACTGTAAAACGAAGCGAAATGAGAAAATAGCCAACGGTCTCAGTTGTATATCGAGATATCGTGAATATCGTCCATGTTTTAGAGATAGAGATTTACATTTTTCTACCGATGGAATATTTGCTTATTTTTTTAATATACGAGGAAAGTGAAACGAGACAACAGAATATTATGATGAAAATTCTAATATTTTATTATTATTTTTCTATTCTAAAGGACGTAGTTTAACGTGTAGATTGTTTTGTAATAGAAGCGAAGAGTAAATCACTGCAGAGAGAAAATGAAGAGAAAAAAAAACATACAGATGAAACTGAAGCTGAACTATATATAACTGCAAAACGAAACAACTGTATAGATGATTGTTTTAGAGAAAATTAAAGAATGGAACATAAAGATGAAATTGGTAAAAACCTAACTTGCAGTTTGTTTTATTTTAGATTTTTGTTGTTTTGTTTATTTGTCGTTTTTACTTCTTAGTCGTATTGTTTCCTTGCTTTCTTCTTTGTAGCTGCAACCTCTAAGCAAAGCATACAAGTGGTCAAGATACAAAGGTAGGAAAATTTTCTCATCCATCAGTAGAACAACAACAACACCTAACTAACTATAGGGCAACAAACAACTGCAACAAGTATCTCAACAAAAAAACAACACTGTTTGGCCTCTTCCCTGTCTGCGTGCGCGAGTACGAGTGAGTGAGAGTGACGTAGTAGTGGTCACAATGGTTGTGGTGTGGCTGAGTGTGGATCAAAATTGTTTACTCTTAGTGCTGTGTCTTGTTAGTGTACTTAGGTATTATATTAGTAGCAGTAATTCTATTTTGGGAAAAATTGTTATGTTTTGTCCAGGGTCACCGTTCTCAAAAAGGGAAATCTTATATGTTGCGTTCATTTTGCGATTAACGTAACTTAGTGGTTATCTACAAATTATGTTAGGGGTGTGGAGCGATTATTTGACCCTCACTCCCTCCCTTATAAGACACTGTAAGATTTATCACCTTACATTTCCAATGCCTACTTTTTCCATATGGGATTGATATGCGATTCTAGGCAGTGTATGTTGATCCCTTCTTACGTAAGACCTTGTACAAAGTACACTGTTGTACCAACAATCAATACGAAACTAACGATTTTAAATTGGCTCACCACTTTAGTAGCCTATTGGTCCCAAGCAAACGATTAACGTACCCTATTCTAGTCGAAATTCTATTACTACACTATGTTTGTTTTGATTCGCTATGAAAGTTTGACAGATAACATCAGGGGTGTGTGGATTCATGCAGAACATGCAGGGGTGAGTGAAATAGCTTGGGACTGCTTGGGACCGTTGTTCTGGTACTGAGTGAGCCAAAAATAATAATGATTTTCTTCGGGACCCAGTGGTCTTAGAGTTACCTCTATGGTTGTACTACCGTTGTACCAACAATCAATACGAAACTAACGATTTTAAATTGGCTCACTACTTGACTAGCCTATTGGTCCCAAGCAAACGATTAACGTACCTCATTCTAATCGAAATTCTAGTACTACGCAATGTTTGTTTTGATTCGCTATGAAAGTTTGACAGATAAAATGAGAGGTCATTGGTTTTTCCTATGTTTCAAGGGGTGAATCGATTAGCTTGGGACCGAAGATAGTACCAGAGCTGAGCCAAAAAGTTGAGCACGTTATTTCGGGACCTTCTAGTCTTAGAGTTACCTCTATGGTTGTACCATAGAGGTAACTCTAAGACCACTGGGTCCCGAAGAAAATCATTATTATTTTTGGCTCACTCAGTACCAGAACAACGGTCCCAAGCAGTCCCAAGCTATTTCACTCACCCCTGCATGTTCTGCATGAATCCACACACCCCTGATGTTAGCTGTCAAACTTTCATAGCGAATCAAAACAAACATAGTGTAGTAATAGAATTTCAACTAGAATAGGGTACGTTAATCGTTTGCTTGGTACCAATAGGCTACTAAAGTGGTGAGCCAATTTAAAATCGTTAGTTTCGTATTGATTGTTGGTTGTACTGCTTTAATCTAGTGCCACAAATTGTGCTTTTTGAGGTACTAGATTAAAGGAGTACAACCACAGACAAACAGACATAACACTCGCAAGTTGTTCATCGAACAAGCATTCAACGGTCAATTTAAAAGTATCGTAGTTGGTAGTACCGCCAACAATCAATACGAAACTAACGATTTTAAATTGGCTCACCACTTTAGTAGCCTATTGGTCCCAAGCAAACGATTAACGTACCCTATTCTAGTTGAAATTCTATTACTACACTATGTTTGTTTTGATTCGCTATGAAAGTTTGACAGATAACATCAGGGGTGTGTGGATTCATGCAGAACATGCAGGGGTGAGTGAAATAGCTTGGGACTGCTTGGGACCGTTGTTCTGGTACTGAGTGAGCCAAAAATAATAATGATTTTCTTCGGGACCTACTAGTCTTAGAGTTACCTCTATGGTACCGCCACCTGTGGCGCGCATAGTCAATTCCCTTGCGTTTGACGTTTACACACTACCGCCATCTGTTCAGCGTACTACCAACAATCAATACGAAACTAACGATTTTAAATTGGCCCACTACTTGACTAGCCTATTGGTCCCAAGCAAACGATTAACGTACCCCATTCTAGTCGAAATTCTAGTACTACGCAATGTTTGTTTTGATTCGCTATGAAAGTTTGACAGATAAAATGAGGGGTTAGTGGATTGTCCTATGTTTCGAGGGGTGAATCGATTAGCTTGGGACCGAAAAGAGTACCAGAGCTGAGCCAAAAAGTTGAGCACGTTATTTCGGGACCTTCTAGTCTTAGAGTTACCTCTATGGTACTACCCACCACAGTGTACTCAACAGATGGCGGTAATGTTTTAGCGACGATGTTTTATATTGAGAAATATTCAATGTGTTATGTCTGTTTGTCTGTGATGAAACTTTGACAGCTAAAATGAGGGGTTATTGGTTTTTCCTATGTTTCAAGGGGTGAATCGATTAGCTTGGGACCGAAGAGAGTACCAGAGCTGAGCCAAAAAGTTGAGCACGTATCTTCGGGACCTTCTGGTCTTAGAGTTACCTCTATGATAGAACCAAAAGATTCTAGTACATTTAGTGTTGCCATGAGATACAATCCATTACTGGTGTTGCCATGTGGCACAATCCAGTAGTAGTGGTGTTGCCATGTGGTACACTGAAAAATTGCATTAGCAGGTGCGTCACCAAAATTTTTCGAGCCGCTCCGTCTGTCACTTCGTTTGTGCTATTAGCATAGAGGTAACTCTAAGACTAGTAGGTCCCGAAGTAACGTGCTCAACTTTTTGGCTCAGCTCTGGTACTCTCTTCGGTCCCAAGCTAATCGATACACCCCTCGAAACATGGGAAAATCCACGAACCCCTCATTTTATCTGTCAAACTTTCATAGAGAATCAAAACAAACATAGTGTAGTACCAGAATGTCAACTAGAATGGAGTACGTTAATCGATTTGCTTGGGACCAATAGCACAAACGAAGTGACAGACGGAGTGGCTCGAAAACTTTGATGACTATTTCATTTTTTCAGTGTACCACATGGCAACACCACTACTACTGGATTGTACCACATGGCAACACTACTACTGGATTGTACTAGCATTTTCACCAAATGCATTAGAATGTTTTGGTTCTATCTCTTTCACTCTACTCAAAACTGAAATGCATAAAAAAAAATGACAACATGATACACTCTTTGCACACTGTCAAAGAATCATTATACACAAAATCAACTTTGTTCAAATCAAAACAAAAAAAAACTAACCCATCTGGTGGATGATGGCACAAGCTTCCAAGAAAATTCTATTACAGTGAACCACATTATTTTAATGGATTTCTTCGCCAGTTAGTCGTCTGTCACTTCGTTTGTGCCAATAGGCTAGTCAAGTAGTGAACCAATTTCAAAACGATAGTTTCGTATTGATTGTTGCTATTAGTCCCAAGCAAATCGATTAATGTACCCTATTCTAGTCGGAATTCTAGTACAACACTATGTTTGTTTTGATTCGGTATGAAAGTTTGACAGATAAAATGAGGGGTTCGTGGATTTTCCTATGTTTCGAGGAGTGCATCGATTAGCTTGGGACCGAAGATAGTACCAGAGCTGAGCCAAAAAGTTGAGCACGTTTTTCCGGGACCTACTAGTCTTAGTGTTACCTCTATGGTTGTAGCTACAATCAATACCGAGGGGGGCGACTGTATCTACGATGCAGGAAAAATTGTGTTTTGCTGTGGTTAGCTGCGTGCACGCTGAGTAGATATGAAGAAGATTGATGACGATTTTGAAGATTTCCTGCAAAAAGATGATGCGCGATGCAAGTAGATACATGAAATCAAAGAAGATTTTTCGAAGTTTGATTCGCTAGTGTGCGATTTGTAGAGCATCTAGAATTGAGATTTAGATATGTCGCCCCCTTTGATCAATACGAAACTATCGATTTTAAATTGGCTCACTACTTGACTACACGCAGAAAAATGGATTTTTGTTTCAGGGCCTAATGTATTTTGTTATTGATTCAAACATATTGTATCACTATTTCAACAACACATGTTTTTGAATCAACAAAATGGTTTTTAGAATCAACAAACAGATTATTGACTCTACAACCGGTTTGTTGATTCAAAAATATTTTTCTTTGAATTAACCGAATAATATATTTGAAACAATATCAAAAATATATTAGGCCCTGAGTCAAAAATATATCCATTTGAACTTAAAAACCATTTCTCTGCGTGTAGCCTATTGGTCCCAAGCAAATCGATTAACGTGCCCCATTCTAGACGAAATTCTAGTAATGCACTATGTTTGTTTTGATTCGCTTTGAAAGTTTGACAGATGCAATGAGGGGTTCCTGGATTTTCCTATGTTTCGAGGGACGCATCGATTAGCTTGGGACCGAAGATAGTACCAGAGCTAAGCCAAAAAGTTGAGCTCGTTTCTTCGGGACCTTCTGGTCTTAGAGTTACCTCTTTGGTAGTACCACAAACGAAGTGACAGACGGAGCGGCTCGCAAACTTTGGTGACTAACCTGCTATTGCAATTTTTCAGTGTACCACATGGCAACACCACTACTACTGGATTGTACCACATGGCAACACTACTATTAGATTGAACTAGCATTTTCACCAAATGTACTAGAATGTTTTGGTTCTATCTCATTCACTCTACTCAAAACTGAAATGCATAAAAAAATGACAAAATGATACGCACTCTTTGCACACTGTCAAAGAATCATTGTACACAAAATCAACTTTGTTCAAATCAAAACAAAAAAACTAACCCATCTGGTGGATGATGGCACAAGCTTCCAAGAAAATTCTATTACAGTGAACCACATTATTTTAATGGATTTCTTCGCCAGTTAGTCGTCTGTAACTTCGTTTGTGGTAGTACCAAC